CCCGCTCCGGCTCCGGAACCAGCTCTCAGGTTGCCAGATACGCTTCCCCCGTTCGTTTGGGCCTGGGGGGGTTTCCCCCCCCTAAATTTCGGTTGCTGCACCTTGGTGTGCGGGCCAGAGCCAGCTGTGCCAAGTGTTGATGTGGAGAAAACTCAGGCAGCTGAGTTGTGAATACTTGAAAATTGGAACTGGAAACTGCTGACACACTGACTTACCGAAATGGATGTTGTTCTTCATTTTATTCTTTCGCTCCGCATCTGCAGTGGTCTTATGACCGCTCTGACTGCTTTGTTTTACTAACAAGCGGTGTCAGAGGCCTGGAGTCATACAGGGTCAGCTACAACACGGTACTCTTGAGCAGGCTTCCTCTGCGCCTTGTTCTGAAATTCTGAATTTTCAGTCCTTGCCTCAGCTGAGAACCTCACCCTGTCTGTTTTCTCTGGGGTGAAGCATTTGTGGTTTGTATTCGTAACAGCTGATTTGGAAGTTAGAGTGGAAGTTGTGGCAGTTAAAGATACTTGCGTGCAATAAAGTCCTTTTTGATCACTCTCTGCAAACCCGGTTGTGGAATTTCTGTAAAGATTCCTACAAGGATTCTTGTGTTCCCAGCTTGCACAGAACTTGAGCGGTTACATCTGCCAGACATCTGACGCTCCAGGATGTGAGGATAACAATGATTTTTAGTCTAGCAGTTTAATTCAACAACATCGGCAACAACAACAACATTCTTTTTCAAGCTGGAGTTTTGCCGGCTCTTGTTCTTGGGGGACTTCACACCACTGTGGCTGCAGATGAAGCCTTAGGTGGGTCAGTTGTTGTGGGAGATGCACGGCTTTCCACCCTTGGAAGGAGGACGGAGGAGGAGCGAGGACAGTGCTCTTCCCCGAGGAGCTGGTGCCGTAGGAGGGGAGTCCCTCTGCTCAGTCCGCAGCTTCGGTGTGCTGAGCCGGGGACAGGGTGCTCTGCCCATCTCTGTGGGGCTTCAGGGCTTCTCTTGGGGCATTGTAGCCCGGTCCTCGAAAGCAATAGGTCTTTGGCCAGAGATACTTTAAAAAAAAAAATAAACAACTGAGAAAGGTGCGGTGGCTCAGTCTGGACTGTCGTGGGCTTCCAGTGTCACTTGAATTGCATGCTCAGGGTTCACCTCGGAGCCGTCAGGCCGAGAAACGAGCTTGGGAAGCGAAGAGGAAAGCTGAGCATGCAGCAGCAGCTCGTGGCGTGGTGAGTTGGAGCCCTCGGTATGTGCGGTGCTGCCCAGGCCTCAAGCTCCTGCTGCGTCTCCAGGGGCACTTCTGAGCGGGCAGGAGACCAGGTACTGGTAGTGGTGGGAGGGTGCTTGCACGGATGCATTTATTCCCAGTTTTATCACCTTTTCAATGCAAAAGAGCATGTGTAGGGAGGTGTTGGTTGCTATCTTGGAGTGAAATGAGGAGATGCAACTTCTGACCGGACTTGCACGTGGCCTTTTTGAAAGCTGCTCCACGCCCCCCCCCCCCCCGATTTACTAGAGGGTGGGAAGGAGGGCTGCTGGCGTTGCCAGCCTGGGAGCTGATGGACATGGCAGGAGTAGGCACTTTCTCACAGCATGGATTCGGAACCTCAACAAATCTTGCAGCAAAGGCAATGGATCCCTCTGTATCGAAGCATCCTGGGAATTAATTTTTCTTGTGTGTGACCTGGAAATAGTAGCTGATGAAAGAGCTCGAGCTCTGCAGCTTGCCAGTGATTTTTAGTACAGTATATTTTCCATAAATAGTATCTGTATATTCTTTTGCTTTGTTTTGTTGTCTATACGTCACCCTGTTGTGTGCGAGAGTCAGTGGCTGCTGCTGCTTTCTGCTTAACCCTTCTTGCCGTGGTTTCCAGCAAATAAGCACAGGCTTTTGTACATCAGAGGCTAGATGTTTTCCTATTTTAAAATGTTTGCTTGAGGAAACTGGATATGTTTGGGGCTGATTACAGCTTTCTGCAATCAGAAGTTGAACGTTTCACATTCTAATTCTTGCCTTTTGTTGTTTTTGGCTTTCTTCTAGGCTACGGAGAGCTAAATGGTAACGCAGGAGAAAGGGAAGTGTCATTAAAGGGCCTGTGCTCTGATGAAACCACCACCCCGGGATCCAGGGTACCCAATGGCAGCCAGCAGCTCGTAGACACCAATGCGACCCCAAAGCAGACTGTGAAGGCCAATGCTTTGGGGAAAGCTGGAATCAAAACCAAGAACTTCGTTCAGAAAAATAGCATGGACAAAAAGAATGAGAAGTCCTACGAAAATAAACTTAGAGAAAGCCAGTCTTCGGACAAGCCAGAGGGAGTGTCTATTCCAAACGGTGTGGTAACCAATAATTCTAGCTATATCACGAATGGCTACGTAGGCAAAGGGGCCGATAACGATGGTAGCGGCTCCGAGAGTGGATATACTACGCCTAAAAAACGGAAAGGCAGGCGCAACAGTGCCAAGGGTTGTGAGAACTTAAATCTAGTACAGGACAAAATCATGCAACAGGAGGTCAGTGCACCAACCTTAAAACAGGAACTTGAGAGTTTCAAGCCTGATTATAGTGAACAAAAGGGGAACCGAATTGAAAATGCTAAGCCTGTTTGGAAATACGAAGCTGGGGCTAGTGGAGCAGGCCGGGGAAAGCCTGGGCTTGGGGACGTACAGAGAAAAAATTCTGATGCCAAACCTGGGATTAGCAGCAAGAAGTTTGATGACCGGCCCAAAGGGAAGCACGCATCGTCGGCTACATCTAAAGAGGACTCATGGACCTTATTTAAACCACCCCCAGTTTTTCCGGTGGACAACAGCAGTGCTAAAATCGTTCCCAAAATAAGTTATGCAAGTAAAGTTAAAGAAAACCTCAACAAAGCAGCTCAAACCCCATCCACGTCATCTTCGTCGTCTTCGTCATCTGCTGGGGAAACTCAGGCCCAAACATCAAGTCGACTGTCCCAGGTCCCCATGTCTGCGATGAAATCTGTTACTTCTGCTAGCTTCTCGAACGGGCCGATTCTGGCAGGGACTGATGGAAGCGTCTATTCTCCAGGGACCCAGCCACTGCTCTCAACTGCTGCTAGTACCGTACCATCAACCTCCTCCGAGTCAGTACCACAGGACATGAGTACAACTTCGACAGCTCTCGAACAAAAGAAATCTAGCCTTTTTATCTACCCTTCAAATATGCAAACTGTGCTTCTGGGTACAGCGCAGGTCGATTTCCCATCGCAGACGAATCAGCAGAACCTGGGAGATATCTTCCAGAATCAGTGGGGCTTGTCCTTCATAAACGAGCCCAGCGCCGGACCCGAAACTGTTGTGGGGAAATCTGCGGATGATCAGTTAATGGAAGTGACATTTCAAGGGGTTTCACAGTGCGCTGAAATCATTCCCTCAGGAACTGAACAACCTGTGTTTCCTAAGGCTTATGAGCTGGATAAACGGACTAGCCCTCAAATTCTTAGTGCTATCCTTAAGCCTGGGACTGCTGTTGAGGGTGGTGTCTTAGCTTTGGAGTCGCATCACACAGGTGACCTACAAAAGTCAGACACCGGTAGCCAAGGTGCTTTAGTGTTTCTTTCAAAAGACTATGAAGTAGAGAATCCTCTGGCCTCTCCCACGAACAATTTGCTAGCCTCCGCCAAAGAACAGAGGTACCAGAGAGGCCTAGAAAGGAAAGATAGCTGGGGTTCTTTTGACCTGAGGGCTGCTATTATATATCACACTAAAGGTAATAGCTTAACTTGCTGCCTAACGGCATTCTCTTTTCTATTTTTTTTTTCACGTGCGATATTCTAAGATGATATATTGCTTACAGCAATTCTGATGGTTTTAAAAATGAGCTTTTTGCTTGTGTATCTCTAATGGGAATAATGATTTGGGAAAGTTATTCAAGTGGTTATTTAATTCCTGTTAAGAGGTATTGTTTCCATGTTCCTGTGGACAAGCGTAAGTGATGTCGATAGGGTTGATGCCGAGCTAGTGTGTTTTACATGTTAATTCCTGAGGAACAGCAGGTCCTCCTAAGCTTCCTGGCACTGGAAGGAGTTAACTGTGTAGGTTCCCTTGCTCTGTTCCAGCTTTACCAGGTGATACTCTGTCATGGAAAAGGCTTCATAGTCTCTGTTCGCACCTCTACCACCAAAGTGTTGCAGCTTCTCCCCTGGGCAGAGCAGGCCGTGAAATCGTGGCTTGGAAGGAAGAAGAAACTATTCCTACAGCTTTTCGTGGTGTGATTTTTTTTCACTTTTTCTAAGCGAACCCCCCAACACACACACTCTTTTCCCCTGGCCTTCTTGAGTATTGTGGCAACAGCAGGACAAATCTTTGCTAATCAACTCTTCTGTAAGCTGCAGATGGAATTCTCTTTTTGTCTTTGTAGGCCGTATCTTTCAGATGATTTTATTGCTTTCATGGGATCCTTTGTAGTCCAGCTCCCTTTTTTTTTTTTTTCCTGGGGTTTTTTTTGAGACTAAAATGTCTCAAACACGGTACAGACTCTTTAAACTGGGAATGAGGAGAGGGAAGCCTGTGGATTGCCTTGCTTGCTGCTTGAGCCTCAACCCCAGAAGCTCTCAGGTCGTGTGGCAGTTCTCAGTTTCTGCTCGTGGCTTGGTGTTAGCGGGAGCCCGGCTGCTCGTTCCATTTTGGCACGGCATTTCTTACCTAGTCCTGACCAGCACAGGGGCAGTTCCTTTTTTATTCGCCCCCACTACAGCCCCTTCCCTCCCATACCTGAAGGGGAAAGGTGATCATCCATTTTTTGTTTCCTGTTCCACATGCATACATTGATAACATCTTGCTCCTCTCTGCAGAGGGGTTGGTATTTGGATGGCAAATCTGGTGTATTTTGACCGACTGGGAGGTTTTTAAATTACCTGTTTGCAAACTCTTTGTATAGCACGCAAACGTAGATGCCTTCCTTTAGTAATAGTAAGCCTGGTCATTTAAAAATAATAACTCCAAATATTTTTCCAGATTATCACGCTCTCAAGATGTTAACATTGTAAGCTCTAGTACTCTTGAGAACAGTATTCATCCGTTGATTTTTATCTGGGTCTGCATCCTCCACCCTCTGCTTAGTCTGTCCAGTATTAAAGCAAGCTTTCCGTTCTCGTTTCTTGTGTCTGCCTGCAGCCTAAATCCCAGTTTCTCATCAGAAAATGGGGGTACCAGAAAGTATAGCATGGAGTAGAAGGAAGGTCCTAGGCAATGCTGCTCTGAACAACTTGCAATTTTTTCTAACACCCAGGTCTGTCTCTTTGCTTTTGTCAGCCTGAACTTTCTTGTAGAAAAGGAACTTTGTACCTGCAGCAAGACGTGTCAGCTCTCCCCTTCTCACCAGCTGTGTGAAAGACGGACCCCAGTAAAACAATAGTGACACAGGAAAATGAAGAACGCTCCCTTCAGTGTCCTCTTAAGGAGGTGTTAACTTCAAAGTCTGGCTGCTTTTAGTTCTTCTAAACACAGGAGTTAATTACATTCGATGGCAAGAATGGACACCTAAAGCACTCTTTAAAATACTGTTTTCTGCTCTTTCCTCACCTCCGTGTGTGATGGTGGAGCATCCAGAGCAAGCACCCTTGTGATGCCCTGGGGAGATGGGTGCCTGCCCCACCACTCCTCTGTGCCCATTTATTTTTCAAGCTGTGTCTATGCCAACTTCAAGGTGTTATTTAGGGCTGAAAGATGATGGATGTTTCTCATCAGTGTTGTCATTAATGCAGTGATAGGGGTGCTCCAAACAGCTTGAGCTTTTCTTTCTCCTACTTAGTCTTCAGGTGCTGTTGCTGGCTTACAAAGCAGGAAGAGTCCAGATCTTGGTAGTCTGCTGTGGTGGTGCTGGGTGTTGCATTTCTCTGTATTTTTGAGTCTGTCGGGGTGAGTTGGGTTAAGGGGTTTGGGGATGAATGGTGCCTTCCTCTGCCCTGTGCAGGTGGAAGATGCTGTCCCCTCTTCATGGCCGTGACCCTGCAGCCAGAGCCCTGCGGCTGAGCTCCTGTGGCACAGCAAACTGCAGCATGGCCAGAAAACAGATGTTTATCTTGGGCTGTTTTCCTGAGGTCCTACTCCTAGCCAACCAGTTCCTCTGCAATAGGAAAGGAATTATTTCACTCACTTATTTTTCACAAGGTGCCTTCCCCTCTTCCCCGCTTGGGAGAGCATGGGGGTTTGCCTGGGCCAGTGTTAGGGCGTCCTGGGCAGCTGGATCCTCAGATTGTTTGGTTTTGATTTCGAGAGGAGGGTGAACTTCTCCCTTTTCAGATTGATCTGTTTGCTTTTGAGCAAAGTCTCGGTAGTTTGATCTTCAGATCTGCCCTGCCTCCGGGGTTATGGACACAAAGAGAAGCGATTGCGGGGCAAGGCCGGGATGAGTGTGGAGCACTGGTGAGGTCCTGGTGCGTTCCCTACCCTGAACTCCTCCATGTGGGGTCATTCAGTGCCAGCTACCCATGGGGCAAGGACGAAGCTCAGCGTGGGAGGGGCTGTAGCATGGGCGGTTGCAGTGCTTTGACCTGTCTGTGGCAAGCCCGCACCCTGCTTTGCGCTGTTTGTGTCTGTAGCTGTGATCAGGTTATGTGGATCCTCATCTCGGACGGTAAGCAGGCTACAGGAGAGCCTCCAGCTTACTCGGTAGCTTTGTTCCAGCAAACCAAGCTTCCCTGTGTACGGTTTGCCCAGCGACTGCAAGGGACGTTACAGATTGTCGTCGCTTCCCGGGCGGAGCGAGCGCGTGCAGTAATCCCGTGTGAACCACCGCAGCCCCCTGTGCCTGGCAAGGCTGTGCTGGGGCGCGAGGCTGGGCGCCCGCAGAGCAGAGCGAGGTGCTGGCCGAGGAAGCGCCGCTCATCTGCCTGTGCCCAGATTGCTTTTTGCCCAGAAGTCAGGGCGCTGGGAACGTGCTGGTAAGGCTGAAGATGTGCTCTTCTGTTCCTGGATGCTTTTCGTGCTGGTTTCCTCTGTGCCCCCGCTCCATGCCTTGCTTTTTTTCTTTCAAAGGGCGGAAAGACTTCCATGATCATCTGATCTGCTTGGCTCTAAAACACGATCCTTCAACTTGGCTGCCTTCATTGACAGGCTGTGCTGCTCTGTTTGTGACGGTGCCTTGAAACACTCGCAGGTGACATACCTACTTGAGCAAGGTCGATCTGAATTAATGGAGCACTGGTGGGCCTGCTGGTGATGTGGTTGGAGACAGTGGTGGTAGCGTAGTGTGGGAGACTGGAAGCACCAGGAAGGAGCGATGCTCTGGCTGAGGGATGTTGTCCCTCTCTAGGTTAGAACTGAACCTCTGCCTCAGTGTGGCATTGCCAGAATCTTTGGAAGTAAAACTGGGCCTCTCAGGTTTTTGGTTTTTTTTTCTGTCCTTGAAAAGAGGAGCCTGGGCATATCTCAGCCTTACTTTTATTGAAATCAGTATCTTCTTACTGCCTTAGTTCTACTTTGAAAGACAGCTGGATTAAATGTTTCATATCAGAATAGTTGTCAACGCTTTGCAGATTTGCTTCGTGTTTGGGCAGTTGCAGTCTTCCAGGCTGGGCTGCCTGTCCCTAACACCGGACTCCATGTGGCAGGCCTTCTGACGGGAGGCTCAGTGGTGTGCTTGTCCTTAGCTAACAAGCAAAGAATGGAGGTCTCCAGTTCAGCTGCACAGCAGCAAAGACCACCTAGGTGGAGGAGAGGATACTGCGGTGTTTTCCTCTTCTGTCTTGCCCCTAAGTTTCTGCCTGTGCTTTGTTCCTTCTCGACATCTCAGTTGCGCAGGCATCTCTGTTCGCATGAAGAAGCAGAAGAGCAGCATGGAAAATAGAGCAAGGCAGCGTGGGCCAGCCAGGAGTGGCGTTCGCCGGAATGGTGAACTGGGTCAGAAGAAATAGCAGAGCTGTGAATTCAGCAATTTTCATCCTTCACATCAGGAGAGGAGGGGGGGAAAAAAAAGAAGCCTTGGTTTCCCATCCCCCTTGGTGGGAGGGGGGTTAGATCTCAGTCTGTTGTTTATGGTCTTGTGAGTCAAAAGCTAATTTAATTCTTCTTCAAGTCTCTGCTTTTTCCAGTTGTCAAGATGAGTACAGTGTATTCAGTACAGCGAGGAGTCTCCACAGCACCGAATTTTCAGTCTTTGCTTTGTTTCTGCAGCAATCCTCTGACTTAATAGTTGTGTCCTGCAGACAGAAAGAGTAAAATCGGAGGAGGATGGTCCCTCTTGGGTGTGTTTTTTTTTTTTAGTGCTTCATTTTAGGGGCAATTGTCAGTTTACATGTTAGACTTGTAAGAACAAGGAACTAGTTAGCATGGGATTGTGCAGACACTTCTATTTGCAGGGGCAGCCTCTCTAGTGAGTAAAACGTGTGTAAAAGTGCCTGTCTTCACAAGTTATCACAGAAGGACTTCTTTACTTCTTTCCCCTCCAAGGTTATGTAGCAGTCCTGCTATAAAGTTTATTGACCTGGGAGGAATCTCGCCACAATTCACCAGTGTGCCTTAGTCTGTTCCCAACATCAAAGCCTGCCGCCACGGACCCTTTGTGTCGGTGACAGTCCCCAGAAAAAGTGGTTCCTCGTGGAGCTCCTTAGGTGGATGTGGCTGGGGCTGTCTGCCCCAGGCAGAGCCTCAGCAAACCATGAGCCAGAGGGCTGTGGAGAGGCCGGCTAATTGTAAAAAAACCTGGAAAACGTGAGGTTGGAAGGGGCATGGGAGGTGACCTAAATGTGTCCCTGGCTCAGCAGAGGGCTGGCTTTGATGCTGGATTGTGCAAGAGTTCGTCGGTGGCATTTGTTCCAGCTGTGTTGGAGTCCGCAGAGGAAGAAGCGTGCTATTTTCCCAGCCACGTGTCCTGTTTTGGGAATGCTGGTCCCTGTCTGTTCGTCGAGTCTTGACCTTCTGCTTTGGAAAGCGGCAGTACTAGGTTTTGGGTCGGTATCTCAGACCCACAGTGAGGACACCCCTCTTCCCATGCAGGGGTGAGTGATGGTGAGAGTTCTTGCTCAAACTTACCCTGGAAGTTTTATCCAGGAAAAAAAGACTCAACAAAAGAGCTCATTGAGTCCAAGGCAGAAGGTTTGGGACCTCTTACATGACCAGCTCTTGGGGGCTGCCTCTTCCTTCACCCTGCATCGCTGTGCTTGCTGTCTTGGGTAGCTGGGGCCCAGGGCTCTGCTGAGCTGCTGCTCTGCCAGGTCAGTCGCTGAGGTCTGTCTGACTGCTGTTCCTTGTCACAGCGTCTCGGGATCGTCGTACATGACCACAGCTTGTAACCAATCCAGAACCAGGAGGAAGACTCACTCTTGGGTATTACTGAGTACAGCAGAATAAATCATAAAATTCCATCTTCAAACTGAAGGAAAACCCTTTTTTCCTACTTTAGTGTTGCAGTTAGCCCAAGTCTGTTTTGTTTTTCTCTCTCTGTGAAGCTGTTTCAGTTGGTAAATGTGCTTAACTTGCGCTGTCCCATATCCGTGTGCTGCTGGCCAGGTGGAGGGGAGGACCTGGTGCTCGCTTTGCTGGTGGCAGACGGTGTTCGGCACCAGTCAGCAGCGCAGCCAGCTTGCTGGTGCTGTTTGGGTTTGTACACTTGTCAGGCTGGGTATCCGCCAGCCAGTGCCTCCAGGTGTTTGGGATTCACAGGACCTTTTACACCACCTTCTCACCTCCCTCTTTTTCTGAAGAAGGAAGATTGTTTAAAGTTTGAAATGGTTGGGGGGGGTTGTGGGGTTTTTGTTTTGGTGTTTTTTTACAGAATTTTGAAGACTTAAAACTTTTTTGTAATTTTTTGATAGTATCTCTCTGTCTTATTACCAAGCACATATTAATGTGAGCAGTTCACATGCTTGTGGTGGCTGGTGACGCTGGGACCAAATGAAAGCACAAAAGAAAGTGTGGTCTTTTGCGTGGAGGTACGGTAGCGGGCAGCACTTCAGCCTCTGCCTTCCATTTGATGCTCCAACGTTGCTCCGATGCGGAGTAACCAACAACCTGAGAGCAGTTTTCTGTCCCCTGCCTCTGGGGAAAGCTGTTAAAAGAAGTGATGTTCTTTAGCCGTTAGGAAATGATGCGTCTAACTTCACTGAATGGAAAACTGGCTCTGCTGGAGGTAATTTCAGTAGCTGGTTCATTTTACTGCTGGGGCATCTGCATCTGGCAGGCGAGGGAGGTAGTCCCTTGCTAGGCTGCTTGTATCCCAGGGGGGTTAGAGGCTGGCTGCTATTCCCAAAGCACTTAGGGTTCAAAAGTGCAAAGTATTGCTGTTATTATCGTGACACAAAAATAACAGACCTCATAAAATTTGTTGGGGCCTTCCTTACAAAAGGCGTAATTGTGCGGAGAGGGCTGGCAATATTTATTTGCGTGCAGTTTCCTGCCCTGGGGAGCTGGAGGTTGTGGGCGCCAAAGGACAGGTGAAGGGTTGGAGAAGGGACGCGAACATGCAAGCTATTGATCGAGGTGATGCTCGGCACACGTTGTGCTGAGGCCATGAGTTTTGTAGGTTGTTTCTTCTTCCTCTCCCATGCCGGTTAGTTTGCTTATTGCCTTGTTTTGTGCCTTACTGTGCATACCGTGTAGCTCAAGAGTCCGTTGCCATTCTCCCTTCCTAGCCCCTGCCAAGGTCCTGACGCCCTCCTTTCCGGCAGAAGGGAGGCTTGAAAGATTGCTCTTGCAGGTCGTGTTAATACTCAGTGCTCCTTTTCTGTAATGTTGTCTCTTAAACTTGGGCGCAGGGTACAGTCAGTGCCTTTACAAATTTTCTAGCTCACAAAATTCCAGCTTGATAGTGGCTAAATGTAGTTATTTTGAATAGGTCTCTAAAGATGTGACTTGGTTTGGGGGATATTTTAAAGGGAAGAGCCTTCTGTTTCTGAAAGTGACTGGAAGGAGCATTCAGCTTTGCTGTTGTTTCTTGGGTAAACACAAGCATGTGCTCTTTCAGCCAGAATTGGGGAGGATTTGTTTGTCTTCGCCCAGTTTGCCTCTACAACACGCTTGTGGGCTGAAGAGCTGTGAGCCAAGTGGGCAGCCGGGTGTCTGGAGCATCGCACCTTGCTGTCGGGTGCTGGGCTGGCAGCAGCGGCGCAGGGACGGCAGCAGCGCGAGCTCTGGGGGGGAGCCTCAGCAGATGCGAGCTGTGAACCGTGAGAAACTCGCTTTGTCCGGCAGTTCTGGTTTCACACACGCCAAGCATCAGCTTGTAAAAATCGTCTCTCCAGGCTACTTGTTGAGGCTGCAATGTGTGAAGCAGCGTTGGAGTCGGAGTAGTAAAGCCTGGAGCTGGATTGCGGTTTGTAGGAGCAGAGAGTGGCGATGACATTTCCGATGCTCGGTCTGGCCCTCTGACCCTTAAGACCGTGTTGTAGCCATCTCTTTGCCTTTTATTGCTGGATCATTCGTGTCATTCGGGCAGTCCCGTGGGCTGGGTTGTGGCCGCGCTGTTGGGCTGGATGAGGTGGGCTTTGTGTGAAAGCCTCGGCACAGCAGCAGCGGTGTCGTGCCACATGCCGGAATTAAAGCGTGTTTGGAGTTGTCTCTGATGGCAGCAGCGATCTGCATAATAACAATGGTCTTCTCATTTTGCCTCCACAGAAATGGAATCGGTTTGGAATTTGCAGAAGCAAGGTAAGGATATTGGAAAGAATAAATAAGCCAAACTGTTGTGTCCTGCTCTGTCTGTTGGGATGGGGGCGAGAGTGGGTTGTCTTGGTGTCCGGAGATGCCCGAGTCTAGTTCTTCAGTGCCTGCTGTTTGTAGTCTGGGTTTTGAATCACTAAGTCAGGCCAGTAAGCTGTAACATGATGGTGGAGTGTTCAGAGAGAAGCAAGAGTCTCTAAAAGAGCAATAAAAACCGTGTCAAATTAGGAGTAATGAGTCTTCCCTGTGTGTATGCAATACTTGTTTTCTATTTCTGGTGCTGGGTATCACACCCAAGAACGGATTTTGATTTCTCGTGCGTCCCCTCCGTTCGCCTGCAGAGACGTGGGGTGTTAGCGCGTGGGCAGAGTGGGGACAGGGGTGCCGTGCCTGGGGGTG